GTTTATTAACGAATCTATAATTGAATGATTTTGAGTGTGTTTTGCTCTTTTATTGTGTTTATTATTGTTGTTGTTATCTGACTGCAAGATATGGTCAGGCAGAAATGGTGTAACAGTTACCTACATACATGATGAAAATGATGAAAATACGCCGTTTAGAGGAGGAAGCAGCCAGAGAATCTCTCCTAGAAGAAGAACAACGAAAAGAGGAAGAGCTTCGGAGGAGCAGGTAATTATTTGTTATAGTTCTGATAATTTTCCCTTTTGAAAATAGAGAATCTCTTTTTTCCCCCTTCAGTTCTAAGGTTTATCTTGACTAATTTATACCGACCCAGGTTACACACATGATTTTGGTGGGTGAGTCTCCAATGAGGATTTCTTGCATACACAAGACTCAAACCTAAGATCTTATTTAAATAATATCAAATTTCATACCACTTGAATCAACTGCTGGTAAATTCTTACCTCACTTGTGCACGCTTATTGCTTAATGTTAATATTATTTAGACGTTAAAAAAAGATGTTAATTTTCATAAGACGACAAAAAAAAATGGAAACGAAATATATAATTGAGGTATGAGAATTGAGAACCGGTGACCCAACGGGTATCAGGGACAAACACGTGCACATCACGTGAATTTCAGCACTCTCGAAGTCCTAAAAATTATTTAGACACCAACTCCCCAACGGTCGTATTTCCGCGACATCACCCCAACGGTCACAAAGGGTATGGTATTTTTTGCCTGAAATCAAAGCCCAGAAACATGAAAAGAGAAAGCAATGATGGAGACGTGAAGGGGTGACAGGGGTAAGTGTTTACTAGCAAGGTGTATACGGTGGTAGTATACAATAGACTATAGTAGTTAGTAGGTGTAGTAAATCAACAACATGAACCCCAGAGAAATAGTAAAAGGTTTTCTCGGGTTGTGAGCTTCGAGGAGATATGTTTCATTTTTTGGTTGATCCTTTAGTTTGATTTCAGAGTTGGGTAGTTTGGGTTCTGTTTTCAGTTAGCATGGAGTCTTTGCAAACATCAAAAGCTGAGATGGGTTTTAATGTTTTTCAGGATATCAAGTCCAGGTTTGAGTTTCTACGCGCTTTTGCTTCCAATTTTCATGTCTTTTACACTGTTGATCATAGCCTTTTCGAATGAGTTTTTTTTTTGAATGTTTGGGAATCCGATGATTGTTTTGTGGTACATGTTTTAGTGTAGTTCTTAACAAATCTTTGATTCTTTCTGGGCTGGGATTTTTTATTTTTTTATTCTTCATTGTATACACACATATTGTTCATATACGAACACTTGCATTTCCAATATTCGTTGATTCGTTTTGTGTATTTTTTTTAAAAAAATCGGATTCCTTCTTATTTTGTTTCTTGAAAAGTACACACTTAGATTTGAAAATACAGAAAACAAATTAGGGGTGGGTGAATTGAAAGCAAACAAAAGAAAGAAAAAATAGAAAGGTTGTGGAGAAATGTTGGCAGGGTGTTCGAGTTCAACATTGCTGTCACCAAGGCATAGATTGAGGAGTGAAACGTCCGCACGGTTTCAAGCTTGCCATTTCCCAACTTCGATGAGCACACAGAGACTGGACTTGCCATGTAGTTTTTCTCGCAAGGACGCTGCTTCAAGGTCACAGCCTATTAGGCCTGTTGGCCTTTCTGTTGAGAAACCGATTGAATCCAAGACCAGCGGTTGTTCTCTCAAGCAGAATAACCGTCTGCCACCATTGACTATTGCCGCGCAGAATCCATTCCAAGGACGGAGAGAGATCAAGGATGGGCTTTGTGAGAAAAAAGGGAAATGTTTGAAGAGGTTTGCCGAGGGTTTCATTGATGAGTCAGTCATAAACAGGGCCAAGAGGAAAAAGGGTTGCTGTCATAGTCAGGTTTCGGGTGATTTTCATGAAGGTAGTGGAGATAGTTTGAGTTTGGCTGCAGAGTTTTGGTTTCAATCAGGTTTTACTCGACAAAGTGTTCCTCAACTTCCTTTCTCTCTGACTTGTTCAGGGGATGAAGAAAGATCGTGTTTTGTGTCTAGTGATGTAATTTCACTGCCTTTGCCATCGTCTAACAATCCTTGGACCGAATCAGTAATAACTGAAATCACCGATGTCGGGGAAAAGGATGTCGAGACAATCCACAGGCCGGTAAAGGAAGCTTCAGGATCGAGTACTTCTTCGGAGAGTCGTAGTTTGGGACTTAGGTTAAACGAACAAGCCACAGAACATGTAGTGGGCAACGGGTCAGGGAATCCTCTCCCGCATGAGGGTGCTGGTATGGGTGCTTATGAGGAGGAAAACAACCATGGGGAGCATCAGGGATTCGAGCTTGTTCACTTACTTACAGCTTGCGTTGAAGCAATTGGTTCAAACAACATTGCAGCAATCAATCATTTTATAGCCAAGTTGGGTGATATTGCTTCTCCAAGAGGAAGTGCTATAAGCCGCCTAACCGCTTACTATACTGAAGCTTTGGCTCTTCGAGTCACGAGGCTTTGGCCTCACATTTTCCACATCACAACTCCTCGTGAGCTTGATAGATTTGATGATGACAATGGTACAGCATTGAGGCTCTTGAATCAGATTAGTCCAATTCCGAAATTTGTTCACTTCACATCAAATGAGATATTGTTGAGAGCCTTTGAAGGGAAAGACAGGGTTCACATAATAGATTTCGACATCAAGCAAGGGCTGCAGTGGCCTAGTTTGTTCCAGAGTTTAGCTTCAAGGACTAATCCACCGAGCCATGTTAGAGTTACCGGGATTGGAGAGTCGAAGCAAGAACTGAATGAAACGGGATACAGGCTCTCGGGATTTGCTGAGGCATTGAATTTGCCTTTCGAGTTCCATCCAGTTGTGGACCGGTTAGAAGATGTAAGGTTGTGGATGCTCCATGTAAAGGAGAAAGAGACTGTAGCTGTGAACTGTGCGTTTCAACTGCACAAGACACTTTATGATGGAAATGGAGGAGCTCTGAGGGACTTCTTGGGACTTATTCGTAGCACGAACCCCACGGTGGTCATCATGGCCGAGCAAGAAGCTGAACATAATGTACACAGCTTAGAAGCAAGGGTTGCTAATTCATTGAGATACTACTCCGCCATTTTTGATTCCATTGATTCAAGCCTTCCCATGGAGAGTCCAGTTAGGATCAAAGTGGAGGAGATGTTTGCAAGGGAAATCCAGAACATAATTTCTTGTGAAGGTAGCGACAGGGTCGAAAGGCACGAGAGTTTCGAGAAGTGGAGGAAGTTGATGGAGGAAGGAAGGTTCAGATGCATGGGAATTACAGAGAGAGAAGTGGTGCAGAGCCAATTGCTGCTGAAGATGTACTATTGTGAGAAGTACAAAGTGAAGAAGGAAGGGCAAGATGGAGGGGCGCTGACTCTAAGTTGGTTAGATCAGCCACTTTATTCAGTCTCAGCTTGGACACCCATTGATGTTGCAGGCAGCTCATCCTCATTTCCTCAGCCAAATTAATACCATTATTGCATACAGGGAGGTATTCTTTGTAGGTGAAACAAATCACTCATTATTCTTTCATTCTTTTGATGCATACAGTAACTTCATACATACTGATTCATATTTTTCAAGGACAGCTTTTTAGATCAGTTAGAATTTGCAGTTTATTCTTTGATTTTTTATGCATCATAAAATTCTTTTTAGCTTAATCACTTGTTGTAAGTTTATCAGAAGTTAATGTAGTTGGAAATTTATCTTCATATAAAGGATTTCATTGAGTTGTGTTCGTTCTCTGCGTTCCTTGCACTGGTTATCTCTTTATCTTTACATTTCTCTTTACTTGCAAAGAATTTCATTGATTCCTTGGTATCATGTTTATTTAAATTGCTTTCATGTTTCATTTCGAAGATTATAAATTAAATTTAAAATTGTATTCGTAAATTTTTTAAAATTTAGATAATATGTAATGTTAAAAAAATTTAACGTCTGAATTAAAAATTAACTCGGATTTCAAATATAGGCTTTCAAAATTATATTTTTAAAATAATTAACAACATTATAGCATGATAACCTACACTAAAACGATGTTGTTTTAGATCCTTACATAAAAACAAATTTAATCCAAAACGAGGTCATTTTAATTTCCTGTAAAAACTTGTTTTTGCCATTTTCTCTCATTTATTCTTTCTTCTTCTTCTTCCTCCTCTCTTTCTCACCTTATGTCGTAAATTCATCTCCCTGAAAAGTTGATGAGCCTCAAACTTTCCTACGCTAATGGATTTTCATTTGTCAGCAATGCGATCTTATGTGCCAAGGCATTAATGCTTTTACAGGTCGGGATGCTTCCAATTCTTTTTCAGTCTTGATGGTTCATGACAGCCATTTATGGGAAGTATATGACATGGTTTCTCAATTGTTTGTAGCTTAGGTTGTCTTCTGTTCGTGCTGTAGCTAATCTTGTGTTTGGCTAGAGCTCAACATGCGCCGAGTTTCTTTAGTATGATGTTTTCTGAACGATATTCTATAACACTTGTAAGGATGTTTATCGAGCTAGTCAATCATGAGTGGAGCAGTGTTCGACTCGACTCATTGCTCGTTAAAATTTTACTTGACTCGTGCTCGACTCGTTGTTCGTTGAGCTCATTGCTAGTTTCATTGCTCGTTAAGCTCAACATGCTCTGAATTTCTTTAGTATGATATTCTATAACACGTGTGTAGTTCCAAATCATTCTATTATACGAACACTCTTTACTTGGAAATTCTTTTTCCTTCATTATTTCTCTTCTAGAATATGCCAGTAAGAGTATGACTTGACCACGCGCAATTCATTTTTCTCTTTAAGTGTATATAAAATAATATAATAAAATATTAGTTGGTTTAAAATTTAATAAAAGATGCCATTTCATCACAAAGTTAGGGATAAAAAGGTTCAATGCTTAAAGTTGAGTTATTAAATTGAAAATTTTAAAGTATAGTGAGTAAAAAAGGAGTGATATGAAAGTTTAGATGATCTGTGTATTTTATCCATTTTTTTAATGTTCTTTAATTTTGTTTTCGCCTAAAAAAACTCAAATATGAAACCCTAGCAAGTGCCATTTTACGTTATGGTAATTTCCAATTTTCCAACCAAAACAAATCCCTAACACCCAAATTCTCATTCTCGAATCAGATTCATTCCTTTACTTGACTGTATAGTAATCTGATTTACTACAAACAACCTCAGAGAATTCAGAATCCCAGCCCAGCAGCAGCAACGAAACCCTAGAAATTTCACTCTTCACTTTCCCCGTAACGCCTCGCAAATGTAAGCCTCTCAAAATTTTAATCTCATGTTTTCTTAATTCCGTTGTTTATAATATTCTGCTCCCAACAGTTTCTTTTAATTTCAGCATGAACCAATGCATGCAAATGCTACTTTCCTTCTTTCCCCTTCTTGAATTTGAATTGTCAAGTGGATTTTTGCTTGTTATCTTTTTAATTAGTGGATTGGTTTCGGCATGAGGTAAGTGAATTGATTGAGGGAGAGCTTTGAGGTGAAAGGAAAAAAAAGGAAGAACAAAAATGAGTAGGCTATCGTTTAGGCCACGCCCATTGGACATACACAAGAAGCTACCGATTCTAAAGTCAATTAAAGACTTCGAAGACGATGAGCCTCCTACTTCCGGTACTCGTAACTCTCAAATGCTGCGTCTTGTTGCTGCTGAGGTCGAAACTGAGGTACCTGTTTTCGCTTCTTTGCTTTTTCATAGCACAAATTTACTTGCATTCTGTAATATATAAAAACATAACTTCTGGGGAAGCAATGATAAAAAAATTAGAGCTTCGCAAGGCTATTTATGTTAAAAAAATTAACTATGACTTGGCATTATACTTTCAAGGCTACTTTCGTTGAACCCTTTTCAATCCTTTGTTTCTCATAGCTCAAATTCATTTGCAATCTTTAATCCAAAAGTTTCTGGAACCTATATTGTTTGTGGAAAAGCAATAAAAGGAATTAGAGATTTGCAACAGTTGAGGCTATTTTTGTTCAAGAACTTTCAGTATGACTAATCATTGTACCTTAAGTCTCTGGCTTCGCTTGGTTGATGCTTTTGCTACTTGGTTTCCATTTCTTAAAAGTTGCTAGAAGGCAAAAGCAGAAGGTGAAGAAAAATTCATGATGGTCCGTGAAATGGCCAAGTAAAAGGTTGCTCTAATTGTGACATAATTGGTATATATAGAAGTAAATAAATGCATTTTCTCTTCTAAATAATAATAATTATAATCTTTCAAAGGTATTGTTTGTGATTCCAAACAGACATTTTTGTTTTGCTTATGAAAGCAAAAGGCAAGTAGAAAAAGCATGAACCAAACAAAGCTTAAAGAATTTAATTAGTTGATAGGTAGATGTATGGCTTATAGGGATGTGTTTGAAGCCTATGGAATTAGATTGATTTTAGGTTTTAATTGTAGGAAATTGGGTTCACAACTTGTTTTACTGAATGATTCATTATTTCAACCAAGTAACAGTATAGGCATAAACAAATGACCCTGGAAATTTGTTAAGAACAGTATGCTAATGAGCAGATTTCTCAAGGATGACTCTTGCTTTTTGTAATTTCTCATGTCTCTCTGGTTTCAAGATTATTAGCATCCTAGATGCATAGTTAAATTTGTATATTTGAATTGATTTTTTTAGGTGCAACCAATCGCTGCCAAGAAACTGGCTTCTGAAATACCTACACCTCAGTTTGTTGTTGTTGATACTTATGAAAGAGATTATTCTCGCACGTTCTTTCAACCCACATCCTATTTACGAGCAAGGGGAGGTTTGTGAAAACAGAAAGATTCCTTTGTTTATTCTCAAAAGCTAATTTGGATGGTTATTTTCTAGTGGTAATTCAATTGGTGTTGGCATTCTGAAAGTCTGTTTTATTATCTCCAGCCCGGGCTGAGATTGGAGAGTTTGTTGAGTATGATCTAGATAATGAGGATGAAGATTGGCTTCAAGAATACAACAAAGATAAGAAGGTTCTTGCACCTGAAAAGTAATTATGTAAATCTTGATTATACTATTGCGTTTTTCTTTTTCCAGTTCAGGTAGATGCGTCTGAATAATACATTCACCTGATATTTCCATCAAGATTGTTTAATTAACTCCTTTTTCTTTTTCCTTCGCTTTTATTTACCCTTGAGTATGAATTGTCGGAAGCTGTCTAGACTGTTAAATCTGTCTAAATGTTAGCATGAAGAAGCTTATTTAGCTGATCTTATTTCAATCTATTAATATCTGAAAAAGTGTTAAAAATTTATCTCATTTAATTTAAACAGTGTTAAGGCATCTTATATCTGCTCCATTATTCTCTTTCAGCATGAATTTTTCTATTCTTTGAATGATCTAGGACTTCTTTGTTTTCTTTATACTTGGGTTATTTTAGTTGCAAGAATCTGGCTTTTGTATCAGAGGTTGCTGATTCACTTGCTTGAACTAGCTATGAACTAGAAATATTCATCAGCTCCTTCAGCATGCAGACCTATTTTGATGGTGTCTTGATTTTTTTTCACTTTAATTGTATATGGGTATGCCTTCTGGAAGCAAGCATAATTTATGCTCTGCTTTCTTTGTAGCCAGTGAGAGTCAATTCTTACTTTACTATATTTTGGAAATGTTATTACTATATTAGATGGATAATTAACCACAGAGAGGGAAAGTGTTCTCGTTGTATTTGGCGGAGCAACCAGAAGTGTTATCAATTTATACAATCTAAAATCAGTTCAAGTGTGATTTACTCTCGTATCTGCTTATTTAATTCTGCAGTTGTGCTTGATAATGCAGGTTGGAGAGTATTCTTTTCAAATTGGAGGTGTTGGATCATAAAGCTCGTGAAAGAGCAGGAGTTATAACACCTACACTTGTTTCACCAATTCCTGTGCTGTTGACAATGGATGCTGCTATCGAGGTGGATATTTGTTTTGATTTTGCAGAAGCTGACCAAATTAGATTTTTTATTTATTTTTATGCATCCCATATCTATGCTTATTGCACCATGGATTATATCAATTTTCAACATTTGGAGTTTTCAACTTAAAATGGTCATCTAATTATAGGCCTCGATACCATTCAGTAAGTGTGAAAGGACTAATGATTATCTTAATAGAGATAATCGTCCTCTGATAATTCTTTTGATGGTTGATGCCCTAGAATGGCATGTGTACATGTATTTATTTTTTCCAAACCCATCAGGTTTGAATCCCCAAACTCTGTTTTTATCTGTTTATTTCTTTCTGTATTTGTGATTTCCCTACTTGGGCATGTTTCAAGAACACTGATGCAAGATATAGATATATTTTTGCACTCAAGATGTTTAATTTTTTTACTCGTATTCTTTACATCCGAATACTAAATCTTCTTTAATAACATGTTCAGTTTTTTTGCTCCAGCATTTTTCATTTTAATCAATGAACTAATTTGTTGAATCATTTGGAGTGAAACATGAGTTCATTCTTATTCTAATTTCCTGTTTTGCTTTAATTGCTAGGGCTTGCAATCTCAATCCATCAAATATGGAGTGTTTCAGTTGGTTTATAACTATTGGAAAGAAAAGGTAGGGGACAAATATCATATCTGGATGTTTTATGGACTTGTACGAGATTCAGAATCTTTGTGAAGGAAGAAGCCTGCTTGGGATTTTCATCCTCAGTAGTATCTAAGTAACTAATTAAAATTTGGTTTGCCAAGCTAGATTGCTTACTTTGGTACCAGTGGAGGAGGTGCCATTATTTGATGGATGTTCTTAGGGAAAGTCCTCGACTTGGTAAAAGTAATTTGGACTGTGCAGCCTGCATGTCCATATAAAATGTGACAGATAATTTGAATTTTTATTCTACTATGTTCACATGCCTTATTCTTCTGGAGTTTTGCTGAACTTCTTGAATCATTGTTGACGTAATAATAAGGATATTTATGCGTTTTTTGTCTTTTTCATTTTTTCCTTCTTTCCAGCGTGAAAGGTGGCAGAAGCCTATTTTACGGCGTTTACAGGTCAACTTTATCACTTTACTATATGGGAATTGTTTTATGAACACTTACAACATATCTTTGTTTTTGAAATGTATAACGGAAAGTAGATATTCATTGTTGAGATGTTTCCACATGGGTTTTATGTTTAGGTGACTAAAATCATTATACTGTATCTTTTCTTGGAGCTGTTTCATACTGCATTTTTAGAATCTTTATCCTTTCATACCACTTCTGAATGTTGCCTGTTTTAGACTGGAGTACGAGACCTTATCAATTCATGTGAGACCAACCCTTTAAGAATTCAATTTATTGGAAATAATATAATCAGAAATAACTGCCGCAAATTGTATAATTTGTTTCATAGCATCTGTAATCATTGAAAATTGATTTTTCTGGCCATTTATAAAAATCTTCTATTAGACCTTGTGCTTTTAGCATGCCATCATCTTTGTTTTAGTTCAATTTGTTTGAATTAAGATGTTTCAGCCATATAATGCTGATAAGTTAATGACAGTGGCATTTATATTCCCCCCCTTGTTGTGCAGCCTCCTCCACCAGTTAATGACAACAACCCCTATAATGTCTTTAGGCCAAGGGAAAAAGCTCACAAACTTCACACAAGAAGGGTTAGTTTCTGACTTTAGTTGTAAGCCCTTCGTTAGATTTTTTTACTGTAAATACCTGAAGTTTGTGTTATCTTTCATTAGATGCAAAGGAGAGAAAACAATGTGCAGTCATTTGAAAAGCTTCGCCAGGTGAGAGCAATTGCTCTTTCATTCTACATTCACAAACACAAAGTTAATATGAAACAACATTTTCTGTCAGCAAAACGATTGTCTTATGCTTAGAGCTTGCATCATGCAAAAACATAGTTTTATGTTTTGCATTTCATAAAAAGGTCATTAGAAAGGATTGAAAATTTTACTTTTTTGTCATCCACAAGTTTCTCTACATCAATAGAAAATGTTGAGCTCCTGTAAGTGATTATATGTAAGAATAGTTATGGCAATATGCTTAATCGATTCAAGACCATAGTGTGACAGATTTTTTATTTAATGTTGTTTTGGACTGTAAGCGTGGCACTTTTTTTTTTCATTGTAATTCTTTTATTATTGATCATCAACAGTTTTCAAAATAATTTTTCCTTTTTCACTTGTTACTTCTCTCAGGTTAGGCGCAACTTAGACCAAGCGAAGACATTACTTGAGGCTTTGATGAAGGTGCTCTTCCTCGATCAATTTTATGCATGTTGATTGCAACTAAAGACTTATGTATGCATCTGAAGCGATAATGCTTTGGGTTGTGATTGAATGCAGAGAGAAGAGAAGAAGAGAGATGTTCTAGAATGTGAAGTTAGCCTTCAGAGGATCCAAATGAAGTACAAGGTACCATTACAATTTTTTTATTTGCTTCTTTTCTAATTTTCTTATAATATCCAGAAATGCCTGGGTTTAACCATCTTTAATCAGTTCAGAGCATTGAGCAATAGCTGATGATAGTGGAGTATTTAGTCAGAAATTTGTTTGTAAGATGCTTGGGTTTATGTATTTGAAAGAATTTCAACCAGTAGCTGATAGTGAATGAAATTTTTAAATTGTCAAGTGTATTCTGGTAAACATGAAGATTGCCGTCCTAAGCCTCTGCTTTGACTTGAATAGAGAGGAAACAAAATTAAAATAGAACATTTGTTATCTGCCTGAAAATGTTGAGCTTTGTGAGAATATCCTTACTTTTTGCAGTCTACAGATAGTCTCCCATGTTTTAGGCTTTGTTTTGTGTAGAAATTTTCATTGTCTGCTGAATGTCATTTTCCCATTAAAGAGTTTTATCAGTGACTATTCTCGTAACTGCTGATTTCTCTCTATTGTTTAAAAAATCATCTGTGGCATCCTACCACAAAGCATCTGTTCATTGTGTTGTTTTATGCGCTTTTTTAAATAAAATTTATTGTTATATAGAAATACGAATTTAATATAATTGAAGTTCGATTTTGGATGATGTTGTCTTAATGAATATTCAGCACGAAACTGAGCTCCTTGAAGATATTACACTTCCTGGATTTGCACCAATATCTGGCAAGTTTGCTTCAGGTGAAGATGAGTTTATGGACTCAGATGATCTTGCGAACAGCCGTCCATGTGCACGACCTGCTGCTGTCCAGAATCCACCTCTAACAGATTCTGATGTAGCCTTAGCTCCACCCGGAAGTGTTAAGCAAGAGTTTCGGCGGCGACATTTACTGCATGGATGGCTCCATAAATTGGTACGTCTTGTGATCTTGTCAATTCGGCTTGCTCTCTTCTTCCAACTACTACATGCAATTCCCAAAACAAAAATTTCCCTATTTTGGTTTGACATACACATATCATAACCGATGGTTCTGTTGTGCCATTTAGGTAGCATTTCTAGAACAAATGTTGTAGACTTGGTTTTCCAACTTTCGTACTATACTTTAGCCATGCATTTCTAATAATCTGTGGATTTAACTAGATCATACTTTAGTCTCACATTTCCAAGAACGGTTTCTTTTGCTTTTTTGGAATGGTTAATGCAGGATCCTCTTGAGCCAGTTTTGTTGTTCACAAAACCATTAGTTCCAGATAAGCTGGCAGCTGCAAACATTGTACCCCCGTCTGATACTTCAACAAAAAGTGGTGCTTCTGCAACACCCTATAAATTTCATGGAAGGATGGGGCGTGGGGGCCGAATCGTATTTGATAGGTGGAATCCTCTCATGCATACTCCAATCGATTACGGTAACTCTTTTTACATTCCGCGGAAGCCACAGCCTTCAACATACAACTAATTTTATTAGTTTTTGCCTGGTCCTCTGCTATCTGAGCCAGCGGATTCCACTGTAAAGAAAATTCAGTAGATAATTTTATTTGTTGTAATGATATACAGTGGGATTTGAGCAAAAGATGGGTAGGTTGTTGAATATTCTCGGGTGTTTTTCCACCTGCATTGGCGATACATCTATGCATTTTTTTTTGCAAAAAGCTCGTGTTTTAGCAATACTCAAGTTCGACTTAGCTCGTTTATAGTTCTAATCACAAACCTCACAATCCTTACTGAAAAATCATAAACCCTAAAATCCTCCGATTATAATACATCCAAGTCTCTGGTCGTAGATCTCAGTGGTCATAGCACGACACATCTATTGGAGAGTAACATATCTCAACCGAATAACAATCGAACGGTAAAAGGGGCATAAATTGGGGTGATTTTGTTCGAGCTTTAGTTTTTTTGAACAACTTTTGGATTGGTTTCACAGAGATCTAAATCGAAGGATTGAATAGTGAGGAAATTTTTTAATTCAACACATCAATCAATGTGAATGGTGAACAAGACTTGATGACGTATGGTAGAAATGGTTTTAACGGTAGATCTGTGGAATTTGGGTTGTTTATCGATTAAATGGATAATGGATTCACATTCAGAAATGCGAGGCCAGTTTGGTGGGATATTGTGAAACTCATCAGCCTTCGACGACAAATAGTGGTGGCCAAAACAATGACCAGCGTGATGGTCGGATTTTGGGGTTGTTTAGGTCGAGAGAAGAGATGAAGGTGAAGAGGAAATAGTAAATGAGAGAAAATGAGGAAATTTTTTTATAGAAAACTAAAACGAAGTCATTTTGGATTAAATTTGTTTTTATATAAGGATCTAAAACAACATCGTTTTAGCGTATGTTGCCATGTTATAAGGCAATTATTTATTTTAAAAGGATAATTTTAAAAGTATTTAAAATCTGAGTTAACAATTACACGTTACTTACAATATATGTAGTATCTTGATTTCTAAAAATTACGAATACAATTTTAAATTTAATTTATGATCTTCGAAGTTGAAACATGAATGCAATTCAAGTAAATATGATTTACGTTAAGTAATCAATGAAATTCTTTACAAGGAAAGAGAATGGTAAAGATAAAGAGATGAACCAAAGCAAGGAACGCAGAGAACGAACACAAATCAATTGAAATCCTTTATATGAAGATAAATTTCCAGCTACATTAACCTGATAAACTAACAAGCGATGAAGCTAAAAAGAATTTTATGATGCATAAAGAATCAAAGAATAAACAGCAAATTCTGACTGATCTAAAAGACTGTCCTTGAAACAAGTGAATCAGTATGTATGAAGTTACTGTATGCAACAAAAGAATGAAAGAATAATGAGTGATTCGTTTCACCTACAAAGAATACCTCACTGTATGCAATAATGGTATTAATTTGGCTGAGGAAATGAGGATGAGCTGCCTGCAACATCAATGGGTGTCCAAGCTGAGACTGAATAAAGTGGCTGATCTAACCAACTTAGAGTCAGCGCCCCTCCATCTTGCCCTTCCTTCTTCACTTTGTACTTCTCACAATAGTACATCTTCAGCAGCAATTGGCTCTGCACCACTTCTCTCTCTGTAATTCCCATGCATCTGAACCTTCCTTCCTCCATCAACTTCCTCCACTTCTCGAAACTCTCATGCCTTTCGACCCTGTCGCTACCTTCACAAGAAATTATGTTCCGGATTTCCCTTGCAAACATCTCCTCCACTTTGATCCTAACTGGACTCTCCATGGGAAGGCTTGAATCAATGGAATCAAAAATGGCGGAGTAGTATCTCAATGAATTAGCAACCCTTGCTTCTAAGCTGAGTACATTATGTTCAGCTTCTTGCTCGGCCATGATGACCACCGTGGGGTTCGTGCTACGAATAAGTCCCAAGAAGTCCCTCAGAGCTCCTCCATTTCCATCATAAAGTGTCTTGTGCAGTTGAAACGCACAGTTCACAGCTACAGTCTCTTTCTCCTTTACATGGAGCATCCACAACCTTACATCTTCTAACCGGTCCACAACTGGATGGAACTCGAAAGGCAAATTCAATGCCTCAGCAAATCCCGAGAGCCTGTATCCCGTTTCATTCAGTTCTTGCTTCGACTCTCCAATCCCGGTAACTCTAACATGGCTCGGTGGATTAGTCCTTGAAGCTAAACTCTGGAACAAACTAGGCCACTGCAGCCCTTGCTTGATGTCGAAATCTATTATGTGAACCCTGTCTTTTCCTTCATAGGCTCTCAACAATATCTCATTTGATGTGAAGTGAACAAATTTCGGAATTGGACTTATCTGATTCAAGAGCCTGAATGCTGTACCATTGTCATCATCAAATCTATCAAGCTCACGAGGAGTTGTGATGTGAAAAATGTGAGGCCAAAGCCTCGTGACTCGAAGAGCCAAAGCTTCAGTATAGTAAGCGGTTAGGCGGCTTATAGCACTTCCTCTTGGAGAAGCAAGATCACCCAACTTAGCTATAAATGATTGATTGCTGTAATGTTGTTTGATCCAATTGCTTCAACGCAAGCTGTAAGTAAGTGAACAAGCTCGAACCCCTGATGCTCCCCATGGTTGTTCTCCTCCTCATAAGCACCAATACCAGCACCCTCATGCGGGTGAGGATTCCCTGACCCGTTGCCCACTTCATATTCTGTGGCTTGTTCGTTTAACCTAAGTCCCAAACTACGACTCTCCGAAGAAGTACTCGATCCTGAAGCTTCCTTTACCGGCCTGTGGATTGTCTCGACATCCTTTTCCCCGACATCGGTGATTTCAGTTATTACTGATTCGGTCCAAGGATTGTTAGACGATGGCAAAGGCAGTGAAATTACTTCACTAGACACAAAACACGACCTTTCTTCATCCCCTGAACAAGTCAGAGAGAAAGGATGTTGAGGAGCACTTTGTCGAGTAAAACCTGGTTGAAACCAAAAATCTGCAGCCAAACTCAAACTATCTCCACCACCTTCATGAATATCACCCGAAATCTGATTATGACAGCTACCCCTTTTCCTCTTGGCCCTGTTTATGACTGACTCATCAATGAAACCCTCGGCAAACCTCTTCAAACATTTCCCTTTTTTCTCCCAAAGCTCATCCTTGATCTCTCTCCTTCCTTGGAATGGATTCTGCGCGGCAATAGTCAATGGTGGCAGCTGGATATTCTGCTTGAGAGAACAACTGCTGGTCTTGGATTCAATCGGTTTCTCAACAGAAAGGCCAACAGGCGTAATAGGCTGTGACCTTGAAGAAGTGTCCTTGCGAGAAAAACTACATGGCAAGTCCAGTCTCTGTGTGCTCATCGAAGTTGGGAAATGGCAAGCTTGAAACTGTGCGGACGATTCACTCTTCAATCTATGCCTTGGTGACAGCAATGTTGAACTAGAACACCCTGCCAACATTTCTCTACAACCTTGCTATTTTTTTTGTTTGCCTTCAATTCACTCACCCCTAGTTTGTTTTCTCTATTTTCTTTCCCTGTCTCTCTTTGTTTGTATAAGTTTTATGCGGTGTATGAGTTTGTCTCTTTTTTATGTATAAGTCTTATATGTTCATATGGAACTTTGCATGTATACTTGGACAACTAAATGCAGAGAGATGGACAAATTCTAAGTGTGTGATTTTCAAGAAACAAAATAAGAAGGAATCCGATTTTTTTTTTAAAAAAAATACCGAAACGAATCAACGAATATTGGAAATGCAAGTGTTCCTATATGAACAATGTGTGTGTATACAATGAAGAACTAAAAAAAAAAGAATCCCAGCCCAGAAAGAATGAAAAGATTTGTTAACAACTACACAGAAACATGTACCGCAAAACGATCATTGGATTCCCAGACATTCAAAAAAGAGAACTCATTCGAAAAGGGTATGATCAACAGTGTAAAAGACATGAAAATTGGAAACAAAAGCGCGTAGAAACTCAAACCTGGACTTGATATCCTGAAAAACATTGAAACCCATCTCAGCTTTTGATGTTTGCAAACACTCCATGCTAACTGAAAACAGAACCCAAACTACCCAGCTCTGAAATCAAACTAAACGATGAACCAACAAATGAAACATATCCCCTCGAAGCTCACAACCCCAGAAAACCATCTAAAGAGTTTATCGAAAACCTTTTACTATTTCTCTGGGTTCATGTTGTTGATTTTACTACACCTACTAACTACTATAGTCTATTGTATACTACCACCGTATACACCTTACTAGTAAACACTTACCTCTGTCACCCCTTCACGTCTCCATCATTACTTTCCCTTTTCTTTTGGTTTCTGAGCTTTTGATTTCAGGCAAAAAATACCATGGTGAACAATACCCTTTGTGACCGTTGGGGTGTTGTCGTTGAGATATGACCGTTAGGGAGTTGGTTGCTCGAAGTTCCCCCTTTATTTTCTTTCTTTAGTTGTACTATTATTATTATTATTTATTTTTATAATTTAGAGAGTGCTGAAATTCACATGATGTACACGTGCTTGTCTCCTAATGGCTGATACCCATTCTGTTAACCGTTGGATCACCGGCTCCCATACGGTCATACCTCAATTATATACATTCCGTTTCCTACTTTTTTAATCGTCTTACAAAAATTAACATTTTTTAACTTCTTAACCTATTTTAGCTATAATTAGGTATTAATGTTTTACCTGTCCATTAATTAGTTAACATATGACTGAAAATAAAAATATTGATATCGAGTTGTAACACTTTTTAGCATAAAACATTTTATTGTTAAATGATTAAACAAAAATATTACTAATAATTAGGTGATTGACAGTGTAATTATCCCTATAACTAGAACATGCTAACGTAGGGGTTCGGTTTGGGGAAGGACCAACAAATGAATATAAAGCTCAAAAGGATACGAGGAAAGCAAAGACGCACCCTCCTCCATCCATAACCGCATCATCCACTTTTAATCAATAGAAAACCACCACCAATATAATACTGACCATTGTCAGGTCAGATTAATGGTATCCTACCCTGAAATTTAATCAACCAAATACCACCAACCAACCCTTCATGAAATCCATGTTCTTCAGGTTCCAATAAAACTAAAAGATTTTCCCAGTAATTTTCTACCATAATCGTCTAGGGATTAAGATGTTTTTACTTCTTCACATCAACTCCAGAAATAAGGCTTCTTGTTTGCTTGTTAACCCTAGTTCATTTAGTGTCAAATTTCTCTCTCCATCGCCAAAAGCACGCCTCGGGTATGGCCTTACCTGTGCAGCAAATGTTGTAATTAGAATGCTATTACATATATTCCTTGCAGGAAATAAGTAGGGAATATTTTCGACCAATGCTGAAAAATAAATCATCCATCCATCTCGAATGATATGATGGACTCGGGATGAGAATTTACCAGTCTATAAGTTCCTGGCTTGACCCCTCTACCAATATCTATGAAGTCATATAGGGACTGCAAAACACAATCAAAGTCAGGTCTAACATTAATTAAGCATGCACAAGGAGAGGTGACTCAATTGATTCTTCTTTGCACGTTTACCTGCAGCCTATCAGACTTCAGAAATCTGCGCCCTCGGCGACTGCCATCAGGCATTCGCACAAGAAGGGTTACAGCATTTTGCTCATTGGCTGCTGGCTCCTGAGGCAGTGAAGCTTCTTTAGCAGCTAATTGTCTCTCACATTCCTGCAAATGGAATCAGAAATGATGCAATTCAGAATCATGAAAAGTATATACCTACAGTGAATGAAGTTCTATTTAAAAAGAATAAATTAAGTACAAATAAGTTGATTGGAAAGCAATAGCCAAATTAACAATTCTTTTTTCTTACTTACAGAAAAAATAAATTATCTCAATAATAAAATGCATTTTATATCATCTACAGTAAGACATCGACAGAATGAATTGCTGTGATGAAGATAACATTGACAAGGACTATAGTTATACGAGATTTACAACAAAACTTTGTTTCACCTATATGAAAATGTTTGTTAGTAAAAATTTAATCATCCTGCATAAAGTTAAAAACAAGTATCTATATAATAAATTGGCTTCGAATTATTGTTAGAATGTAATTCTTTATCTACAAAATCAAGACACGAGATAGAACATATCATTTTCCTCAATTCATGGACCAAAAATATACACCAGTTAAGCTTACTACCGATCAGAACTCTAACAAATAATTACCTGTTCCTCTTCCACTTTCCTGCGTAGCTCTTCCTCTTTTCGCTGCTTTTCTTCAAGAGCAGCTTTTCTAGCTGCTTCCTCCTCTAAACAGCGAGCTTCGGCTTCTTCTATTGCTTTCAACTCTTTTTCTCTGTCAGCTTGCAATGATGCATAATATTCATCATCCTGAATGCATCATGTATGTTGGCAACTGTTATACCATTTCTGCTGGACCAAAATACCCACCTTGCAATCAAATAGAAAAATATAAACAAAATAAAAACTAACTTGCTGCTCTCGTATCAAGCGCTGGGCTGCCAAAGAGGGTGATGGAGGGTGAGGGGCACGCCAGGGATTGGAGCCCTCAGGTCGCATGAACTGATGAGGTGCATATGCAGAACGATATCCACTTTCAGGGATTCCACCAAACATTGCAGCCTCAAGCATGACTGCTTCATCATGCTCCTCAGATGAGATGCCTCCCCACTATGATTTAGCAGACAGCAGAAACCAAATATTACTTTTAGAAAATAATATAAGTGAAAGGCACTAGTTAGAAGAGAAAGTCGAGTAAAGATATGAAATGCTTTGTATACTTAAGTTCTAATTGCACATCAGAGAAAATTGGGCAAGCGTTTAACCTCATCAGAAGGAAAGGCATTTCCATTGCTCTGTGGGAGATTGCCTATGTCTTGTGGTCCAGGACTTGATGGTGGGCTAGCCTCAACAGCTCCAATTTCTTTCACAGATTCCCTCGAGCCAGATAATGCCTGTCTGGGCCTGTGCCTAACTAGAGGCTGCTGCTCCACATTTTCAGCATCATCTTGAATGGAAGAGCTTCCTCTCATTAACCTAGACCAACTCAATTAAGTACATCATAAAATGAAGCAAGGGCAAATAGAGTTACAGATTTGTCATCATAACACAATAACACGACAGAACACATAATGCTTAAAAAGTGACCATGAGATGTACCTCCCATTTGAGGTAGCCAAGTTTCCGAGCTTCACCTCAGCTGGTTTAGAAGCTACCGATTCTGATGTTCCGGCAGACTGACCCCGCACATGCAATGCCCTTTCTTGCTCTGCTGACTGAATTTGGTAACATTCAATAAAATGAAAATATTATCATATTTTTTTTGGAGAACATGTAGGAATGGTGTGTACAGATTCTTTACTTATACACTGTCGGCAAAATATGTTCATCTAGGATAAAATTATACTGCTTCTGAAAGTAGAAACTTCAGGGTTGTGGTGCATGAAATGCATTGACAACAGCTATCAAAATCTCCATGTTTGCAAAACGCAAAATATGATTTTAACAAAATATTATCATATGAAAACATGATTTTAACAAACTAAACCGCAACAAACCTTCAAGGACAATGAAACTGCTTCTGCAAGTTGAGCATCCTCCTCCATATGAGACCGATTGGGTGGAGGCTCCAGATCATTGTCATCCTGCACAAACATTAAAAGGAAAATTGTGAGGCAAACATTTACTCCATCTACAAGTGCACCAGAACAGTATGACACTGGAAACATCCGTATGTAAAAATTTACCTCAACTTCCCATTTAGAAGCCTCAATTGCAGCTCGAATCATTTGTTCTTCAACGTCATTGCCATAGTCTGGCAAGTTATCAAAGACAGGAGCACTGGGTGTAACACGTTGGTCCTGAGAGGGATTGTTCAGCTGACGTGGCAGCATCGTAGAATCCTCATCCACTTCATCAATTATAACAGTCTCATTGGAATTAGGTTCATGTGCTTTTTCTGTTTCAGAGACATCCTCAATGACAGGAGCATGACCAGAATGATTTGATGGCTCATTGCTATCGTTAACCTCTATTGGTATCTCCCTCACCTCTCTCGGATGTGTAACCGATGGTTCACGAGTTGTAAAATCAGAAGCACCATCAAAGAAGCTTCTATAAAAGTTTGAGTCAAGCAATGAGAATGCATTCATCGTTCTAGACGCCGGGAGAAGTGGAAAGACTGGCCTGCTTGGTACAGTTTCTAATGGATTGTCTATATCCATGGCATCATCTACAGCCGATGTTGACCTTGTGCTGCAAACAGGAAAAATAAATAAATAAATAAAGCTATAAACAGAGAATTGCTAATCATAAGAGAGGATAGCACAATTGACAAACATGGTTCTATCTCCTTCGCTGAAATGTGCATTGACAGCTGCATTTAGATCACTACCATGCTCCTGATTCCAAGCAAAATAAATAACAGAAAAGTTAGAGATGTAAATATCTAACACTTGAATTTGGGAACAGATACAAATAATCCAAACTAACTCAAATAAAAATGCAACGCAAGAAGTCAATTCGATAGTGATAATGGTGTTATCCAAACATCTCTTCCTCAAGCCATTTTCTTCATAAAATTCTATAGAACACCTTAGCAAACTATAAATTGAAGTGATGCCTAGGAATTCCAGACTCCAGAGTCAGATATTTAGAACAAAGTTCAATTTAACCATCAGTATGAATAAGGGGTAAGCTCAATGAGTCCAAAATGCAAAAGTTACAAAGACACTGACTGTAAGACTTCAAAAATCACTAATAACATTAAAGGGGCACCAATCCATGTTAAGTGCCCCTTGCTTCCATAGCCTTTGTAAGAGCTTCGAGACTAACTACTGGAGGTTCAGAAAACCTTAGGCGTTATAATAATCAACATCAAATGCATTTTCACGAAACTATGAAAAGAACCCCAGTTCAAATTCAAAATAAAATGCAACCTCGCCATTTCATTCAACTTTCCCCTTTTGGATACCAACTATCCAATTTCTTCCTCTTTAACTTGTTCATTTGACATGTACGTTATACACGCGGATAAAAACTAATTGAAAAGGGGGAAATTATGGATAATTCATTCAACCCTTAAAATACGCCATTGATTAAAGTCTCTGAATAAAATTCTTATCCAACAGCAAGCAAAATTAAATCAACAATTCGAAGCAACAAAAATCCAATTAATTAACAAACCAATCAATACTGCATCCGATCAGTTATTAGCCTATAATGAGAAACCAATTGAACAATCAAGCTAAAATTAAATGAAAAGTTTCTGGAAAACTACCTCCAGCTTTTCTATGGCAACAGCTTCGGAGGCCCCAGTGATGCCCATGAAAGTTTCGATTGCTTCCGGATCAGTTCTGGCCATTTCGGGAATTAGGTTTTCCCCCTTTTTTAATTTAATTTTTCGCAGCTTATATTTTCAGGGTTTTTTTTTTATGTATAACAGAAAAAAAGAGGGGATGAAACACATGATATTTGTGGAAAGTTTGCTTGGGGATGGCCTTTTATACAGGCCTTGTTTTATTTATGGATAAACTATACACATACCATTGAAGTTTAAGTAGTATATCATTTATACCAATTACTTTTTAATTTTTCTAATTTTAACATAAGACTTTGGTTTTAACTTTAATTATGTCATTGTATCATTAAAATTCAAATTATGTGATGACATAGACGAAACGATCTCATTTTGATTGTTTTAGGCACTAAATTTTAAGGGTGTATTGATTTTACCACTAAACTTTTAAATATTTTATTTTTGGTACTACATTGTTCTGGTTGTCGTCAACAACCAATCATTGCACATCATTGATCTTCTTTTGTGGTAAGATCAATATCAAAACATTCGTATTTCATATCAATTAGTATTATCGGATGATCATAAAAGAATTATGATTTTAGGAGTTTTGGGGCTTTTTGATATTTAAAGGGTTTTGGTGTGTTTGTTTGGAAATTCGAATAGTGAGAAGCATTATTTCGAAAAGACAAACATTAAACCTCAAACAAGTCTTATCGGACAGTAAAAAAAATCAGAGTATTATCACGTTGAATTTTTAAATGAATTTTCGTCCATTTTGAGTGGTTTGTGAAAAAACAATTTTAAGAGAAGAAAGTTGAGTGAAATGCAAACGATTTAGTACTAATTTTGTCACAAAAGATGATCGATAGAAAAATAATAAACTATATAATATCCTTAAAATAATTTATTTAAAAATTTAATAAAAATTCAATATTTTAGTGTCTAGAATTATATTTTATGAATAAACAAAGAATATGGATTCCATTCTATTAAAACACAATACAATTTTCAAGAAATATTTTCAAACGACCATAACGGTTTCGACACCTCTCCACCGTGTCCCTCTCTTTGGCACTTAATGCCACGCTCTCCGCTTCACAAACGCAGGAATCTCAGCAAAACGCAGGGACCGAACCCTGAAAAGGCTGCGGCTAAGGATTTAAATAACGGTCCGTTACCGTAATAATATTCATTATATAACGATAATAATGTTATTCAAAATTGTTATTGTATGAGTACAATACTTACAAAAACGTGAGTTATGTCCACAATCACAACATACGCAACATAAATAAAAATTCGACAACTTAAATCTTCGATGCAGCTCTTCATGCTTGTGTGGACGAAATAAGTGATATGGAAACATAGGTCAATGCAGCTTTGAATGATGAAGATACCAGCATGGGTGGCTTCTCTGAGAATGCCATGGCTCTTCATCAGAAGCTTTGGTTTCGTTAGATTGTTCAATTTTATCTATTGCTACTGTATAAAATTTTATGGTGTTAATACGTCAAATATAAATACATGAAATAAACAAAATAATATAGTAAAAGAAAATAAAGTCATTACAATAGGATAAGATATATTACTTCTAAATAATAAATAAAAGCTTATTTTTTATTTTATTTAAATAATTGAATATTTCTATTCTAATGAAATTACAAGGACTAGTCAAGTTGAGAAATAGGCGGAGGTAGAGAGTGACGATGAGGATTTGGTCTTTCCGGTGTATTTCTTTTCACAATGATATTAAAAGCATGAGGCGACATAGGAGGAAAATTGTGATGAAGAGGATTTGGACCTTCCAGGGTTTCTCTCTTCACAATAGCATTAAAAGCATGAGGTGACGTAGGAGGAAAATTGTGATGAAGGGGATTTGGACCTTCCGGGGTTTCTCTCTTCACAATAGCATTAAAAGCATGAGGCGAAGTTGGAGGAAAATTGTGATGAAGGGGATTTGGACCTTCCGGGGTTTCTCTATTCACAATAGAATTAAAAGCATGAGGCGAAGTTGGAGGAAAATTGTGATGAAGGGGATTTGGCCCCTCTGGCGTTTCTCTCTTCACAATAGCATTAAAAGCATGAGGCGACGTAGGAGGAAAATTGTGATGAAGGGGATTTGGACCTTCCGGGGTTTCTCTATTCACAATAGCATTAAAAGCATGAGGCGAAGTTGGAGGAAAATTGTGATGAAGGGGATTTGGACCTTCCGGGGTTTCTCTATTCACAATAGCATTAAAAGCATGAGGCGAAGTTGGAGGAAAATTGTGATGAAGGGGATTTGGCCCCTCTGGCGTTTCTCTCTTCACAATAGCATCAAAAGCATGAGGCGACGTAGGAGGAAAATTGTTATGAAGGGGATTTGGCCCTTCCGGGGTTTCTCTATTCAACGTAGGAGGAAAAATATGATAAAGGGAATTCGATCCTTCCGATATTAAACTCTTTCGAGAGATCAGGCCATCAAGCCATCGCGGTTCAGAAATTACGAGTAAAGTAGATAAAATCACGTAAACAAAAACAGATTCCATTTTGACAGCCATTTTCACGGTTAAAGTACACAATATGGGCGATGGTAAGAACTAAGAAGCATGGCATGGTACACTCTATTTATATAGGCAAAATTACAATTACAATCCCGGAGATTGTGATACTGTGTAATTATGCCTTTTTGACTATTTATGCTTTGATTGCGTTTAGAATTTTAGAAACATGCCTTTTCCATTTTATTAACATCTTAAAGTTTTACTTCCACGATGCAGTGGTTTTGTTATGGAAATATTAATTTTCTATTTTATGGAAAATAGATTATTCATTTATGTATATAATATTCGATTCCCTCTTCCATGTAATGTTTCCATGGTATAGCTTATTCATTAATGAAGAAAATATCTGATTTACTTTTTTATGGAAATATGACAATTCTTTTTTCTTTTTTTGAAAATTGGAAATATTACAATTCAATCGTGAAAGTGAGGGACGATCCTACTAATTCCAACTTTTATTCTATATTTAAGAGGTTTAAATAAAATAATTTAGTTCGATACGTTTTTGAATAGAAAATCTTATGCACATTTAATATGTGGATTGAGCTTTAGTCTCAATATTCAAGCAGAGACGGAACCAAGATTTTAGTTCGGGGTAAAATATAATTAATAATTAAAACTAGAGGGTAAAATCAAAATAAATCAAAATTTAAAGGTTAAATTTATATCTTTTATTTTAGTTTCTACATATTATGTAATTTATAACTCATAAAAGTTAAATTTATAGTGTATGATAAATATTAAAAGATATGATGCTTATGGTTCAATTCTGAATAAAAATATATAAAAATTTATTTACTACGAGAGAGAAAATATATTTTTTCCATTTGCCGATATCCTCAAAGCATATAATATTTGCCGAAAAAGAAAAAGAAATCTTATACAGTTCGAACAAATATATATATTCTCATCCAGATTGGGTACCGGTAGCTTTTAATATCCATACAACCGGTCGTAATTATGATTATAATCTGTAGTGAAAACTGACAGGAACCTCAACTTTAAGGGCTATTAGGCTGAAAGGACCTTAAAAATCTCAGTAATTTTCATTTTATTGTGCTCCACACTCCATACCCAAACGCAGAAGCAGTCGTTATTGTAATTGCCGTTAGCAAAATCAATCTGTATATAATTGGTTTAATATACCATTTGCCTCTAAAGTTTTCCCTTTTTTTTCAATTTGCTACCTGATAATTTGTTTTTTGTCAATGGTACCCTAGAGTATACAAACATTACTCATTTAACTCCAAAAAGTAATGTTCACTAAAAAAATTGATCACTTGCAGCATGTCATATCAACTCCCAACTATTTTATCTCTATTGATATCTAAAGTTTTTTTTTAGGGTTAACTCCTTCAAATAACACTCACATTTAAGCGCGGACTCGTTTATGTCACAGACGTTTCAAATTTGTCAATTTTAAGAGTGGCCGTTAATTCATTAACGGAGCGATGATATGTCATCTCTGTTCCGTGACGGCGATGACATGGCCCCCTCATCAAAACGGCGTCGTTTTGTTGATTAAAGAAATAATTTTCATGGAATTTGAATTGTATACCCTTAAAATTCAAAACTAAATACCCAACCACTAAACTAACTTAATAACTTGATATAACCTTAACAAAACTATTATAAATATTTATCACTACCACCGTCACCCTCATTATCTTCCTCCATCCATAACAGTTCTACTACTAATTTTCAATCATTATCTTTAACATCACAACCTAGAATTCATATTTTTTCTTAAAAGAAAAGGCTTGCTTTCCTTCTCGCTTTTCTTTCATTTTCTTCTTTATCTTTTGTTCATGCTGCAAATACTAAAATCAATAGAAAATGCGAACCCAGAATGAATTTTCCGAACCCACTTTAGGGGATGAATTTACTTGAAAATTACCTTGGAGTTGAAATTATTTGAGATTTTGGTTTAAATGGATTGGTCTGCACATTTGCCCTTGCCATTTGTCACTGTGTTAGCCGAGTGCTGCGAGAAAGAAGCAGTGGCACAGGTTCACTCCTGGACGGTCCTTCAGCTCCCGATGCCAACCTGTAAGAAGAATTTTGGGCTTGCAATCTGTTTCAAAAATCCTGTGTGCCACTTGATCTAGAGGAATACTCGGTTACTAACTTTAAAAACATTGATGATTTATCTTCCAAGAGACGTGCCGGAGTATCAAACTCTGCAACTCGACCTGCAAATAAGTTCCCGGTTTATTCAGAAAGCTTCAAGAGTTTCAGTGAAAATAATACTGAAGCAATCCTGAACTCAAAATGAAAATTTAAAGACATAGCTTTACATATCATCACTTAACACCAAAATAAGATCACTGTCAATTACGGTTGAAATGCGATGTGCAATAATGAGGTTGACGGTGGTAGTGATAAACATTTATAATAGTTTTGTTAATGTTATACCAAATTCTTAAGTTAGCTTGGTAGTTGAGTATTTAGCTTTGGATTCTAAAAGTCTATTGTTCAAATTTCATGAAAAGCTTTTTTTCATCAACAAAACGATGTCGTTTTAAGCTTTTTGAGCATCAAAACGGTCGTTCCAAAACGATGTCGTTTTGATGAGGGAGCCATGTCATCGCTGTCACGGAACAGAGATGACATGTCATCACTCCGTTAATGAATTAACGGCGGAGTGACATACTTGCAGCTAAACATAAATGTCAGTGTTAAAATTGACAAAATTGAAACGTCAGTGACATAAACGAGTCCACACTTAAAGGCGAGTAGCATTTGAAGTAGTTAACCCTTTTTTTTATTATAAGTACCAATAATATTTGTAAACATCTCCTAAATTATGTCTAACTGTTTAAAAATTATCAGTCAATGAAATTACACTATTTGAGCATCACTTTTGTCATATTAAATCTGTTTTATTTTAACAGAAAGATAAATTCAACGAACTATCTAATTGTTTTAAACATTGAATTCGTAATGATCGATCTTTATTGAAAGAATTATTCAAATGCACTCCTTTTGCACTTCTTTAAAAGAATGGGTTTTTCTTTAGTGATTTGCTCTTTTCCATAAAAATGTTTAAAAATATTTCATTCATTTAGAAGATTTATGAACCAGTGCATTAATCAAAGATCAGTAATGACAAGAGTTAGGAGGACTGAGCGGACTGAGCCTTGATACTCTTCCTTTTCTAGAATTAGTACATTATGAACGCTAAGCAGAACATGAGCATTATAAAGAGGATTTGGTCCTTCTTATGTTTATTTTTTTACTATGAACTTATTGAAGGTAGGAGGATCGAAAGGAGTATTATGAAGAGGAGCTGATTCTCTTAGTATTTATCTCTTCACATTGAACTCATTAAAGACAGAAGGACTGACAGGAGTATTATAAAGAGGATCTGGTCCTCCCGGTGTTTATCTCTTCACGGCGAACTCATTAGAGATAGGAGGGTTGAGAGGCTTATTATGAAGAGGATCTGGTCCTCCCGATGTTTGGTCTCTTCACGATGAACTCATTAGAGACAAGAGGGTTTAGAGGTTTATTATGAATAGGATCTGATCCTCATGGTATTTGTCTCTTCACGATGAACTCATTAGAGGCAAGAGGGCTAAAAGGTTTATTGTTATTAAGATCGGATCCTTTTGGTGTTTGTCTCTTCACAACGAACTCATTAGAGGCAAGAAGACTGTGATGTTTATTGTGAATAGGATCCGGTCCTCCCGATGTTTGTTTCTTCACGATGAACTCATTAGAGACAAGAGGACTGATAGGTTTATTGTAAATAGGATCTGATCCTCCTCGTGTTTATCTCTTCACGGCGAACTCATTAAAGGCAAGAGGGTGGAGAGGTTTACTTGAATAGGATCTGATCCTCACGATGTTTGTCTTTTCACGACGAACTCATTAAAGAAAAAAGTGTTGAAAGTTTTACTATGAATAGGATCTTGTCCTCCTGGCGTTTGTTTCTTCACGAAGAACTCATTATAGACATGAGGGCTGAGAGGTTTATTGTGAATAGGATCTAGTCCTCTCGGTGTTTTTCTTTTCACGACGAACTCATTAGAGGCAAAAGGGCTTAGAGGTTTATTGTAAAGAGGATCTAACCCTCCTAGTGTTAGTCTCTTCACGATGAACTCATTAGAGACATGAGGGCTAGAAGGTTTATTGTGAAGAGGATTTGATCCTACCGATGTTATTCTATTCACGAAGAACTCATTAGCGGCAAGAGGGCTGAGAGGTTTATTGTGAAGAGAATAAGATCCTTCTGGAGTTAGTCTCTTCACAATGAACTCATTAGAGGCATGAGGGCTAAGAGGTTTATTGTGAATAAGATCCAATCCTCTCGATGTTTATCTATTCACGACAAACTCATTAGAGGCAAGAGGGCTAAAAAGTTGTGAATAAGATATGGTCCTCCTGGTGTTTGTCTCTTCACGAAAATCTCATTAAAAGTAAGATGACTAAGAAATTTATTATGAATAGGATTTGATCCTCTCGATGTTTGTCTCTTCATGATGAATTCATTAGAGACATGAGGGTTAAAAGGCTTATTGTGAAGAGAATCTGGTCCTCCCAATATTTTTCTCTTTACGATGAACTCATTAGAGACAGGATAACTGAAATATTTATTGTGCATGGGATCTGGTCCACCCGATGTTTGTCTCTTCATGACGAACTCATTAAAGACAAGAGGACTAACAGATTTATTGTGAATATGATCTAGTCCTCACGGTATTTATCTCTTTACGATTAACTCATTAGAAGGAGGAGGATCAGAAGGACTATTATGAATAAGGTTTAGTCCAGTTGGTGTCTATCTATTCACGATGAACTCATTAAAAAGTTTTATATTCAAGGGGAGTATCGTGAAGAGGATTTGGTCCACTTAGGGGCTATTTGTTTACTTCAGAATGATTAAGCGTTGAATGATTCAAATGCTGAATGATTCAAATGCTGAATGATTCAGAGGCTTTGTATGAATTAACTCTGAATGTGACATGCTATTTGATAACGGCTCTGAATCATTCAGAATGTACTTCAGTGCTGAATCATTCAACACTGTTTTGCTAAATCATTCAACATTATTTTGCCGAATCAGTCAACACTGAATCATTCAGAGGTGCGAAACAAACGAGTTGAACGCTGAACGGTTTAACATTCAGCGCTGTCATTAAGATGCAAACAAACAACCCCTGTCTTTTCACAATGATTTTTTTAATATCAGAAGGATCATAATGAAGATAAGATTTTCTGTCAGTTGATGATGTCATTCCCACATTGTTTATCTATCTATTGAACCCATTTAGATTATCGGATCTCAGTGCTTCAACGATCATGACAAACATAGACGAAATGACAAAAATCAAAATTGACTTCATTTTAAGTTTAAAGTAAAAAAGTATGGATGATGATTTAGAAGGATAATATAATATATGATATTTATATAGGTAAATTTTGAATTAGAAATTTAGATAAGACTACATTTATGAGATAATACCTAATATTCAGATTTTCCCCTATATTGACATCGTTAGTGGTTTAAAATTTAGGAATATTGTATGTGGGAATTTTTTTTTATAGAAAATAGGAGTGTTTGGGATCTAGGTCATTTATTACAGTGCATGTGGAACTCGTTATTGTCATGGGGATGACGAGTTTCACAAAATATATTAAATGATATAACTCGTCGTATGAATTGAAACAAAATTGTATGAAACTATTCACCTCCTCGCGACGAGTTCTAAATTTTTAGTATATTTTACCGAACTTGTCACCTTCTTGTGACAAATTCCACGTGAACTGTAGCAAATGATTTAGATACCAAAATAATTCTCAAACACATGTATTTTTAATTTTTCTGCCTGAATTATTTAGACAACAAATCCATCATATTGTTCCCAATAATAATTTAACATATGTAATATTCATTTACAAAAATATATTTTATAAAGTACCTAATATTCCCTTTATCCCATTAGATTTGTCCACTCTTGATTTTTTGTCAATTTTTTAAGTTTGACTCATTATTATTGATAAAAATATAAAAATATATTTCAAAAGCCTTAAATCAATTAGTTTTGTGTATATATTTTATAAAATTTAATTATTTAAAATATTTAAAATAATAATTATCAAAATTTAAAAATTTTAACTTTTAAAAAGTCAATAAAAACACATTCAATGAGGCGAAGGGAGTATTTATTATTCTTACATAATGTTGTGATCTTGTGGTTTTGATGAAAACATTACTTTTCTCTTTTAAGGAAATATTATTTTTTTCTCTTTGTTAATACTTTTATAAAATAATTCAGTCATGAATTATGGTTCATGGATGTTAATTCATTCGAGAAGATAATATTTAATTTTATATTTATGAAAATATTAAGATCTATTGTTTTGTGTCCTATTTATTTTATGCTTACTGTGTTAAATTTAAATAAGAAAATTTCAGAGTTTATTAGGATAAAAAAAGTTCTTTTTCTTTCCAAAAAAGTTGTTTTCCTATATTTCTTTTTCAATTTAATTCTTAATTTTTTTCTCAATAGTATCCCAAGAGTACACAAACATTACTCTTTTACTCCCAAAAGTAATATTCACAAAAAAATGACCAATAATCTATTACAGTATGTCATATTAGCTCCCAACTATTTTATCTCTATTCAGTACCTAAAGTTCTTTTTGTCATAAGTACCGATAATAATTATAAACATTTCCTAAATTATTTCTAAATATTTAAAATTATACTATGTGGATATCACTTTTACCAGATTAAATCCGACTGTTTTTAATAAAAAGATAAATTCAGCGAACCGTTAAGCATTGAATTCGTAAGATCGATCTTTATTGAAAGAATTATTCAAATGCACCCCATTTTGACTTCTTTAAAAGAATGGATTTTTTAGTGATTTACCCTTTTTCATAAAAAATATAAAAATATTTTACTCTTTCTGAAAGATTTATGGGTTTGTACATTAATAAAAAACTGTTAATGCCAAGAGTTTGGAGGAGTAGGCCTTGATACTCTTCTTTTTCTAATGACATTATGAATACTAAGCAGAACAATAGCATTAAGAAGAGGATTTGATCCTTCTTGTGTTGATTTCTTCACAGTAAACTCGTTAAAGCTAGAAGGACCGAGAGGACTATTATGAAGAGGATCTGGTCCTCCCGGTATTTGTCTCTTCATACTTAAATCATTAAAAGTGGGAGGGATGAAAGGAGTATTATGAAAAGGATTTAGTCCTCCCGGTGTTTGTCTCTTCACATTGAAATTATTAAGGTAGGAGAACCGAGAGGAGTATTATGAAGAGAATATGGTCCTTCCGGAGTTTGTCTTTTCACGATGAATTCATTAGAGGCAGAAAGACTAAGAGGTTTATTGTGTATCGATCTGGTCCACTCGGTACTTGTCTCTTCACGATGAACTCATTAGAGGTAGGAGGCTGAGAGGTTTATTGTGAAGAGGATCTGGTCCACTCGATATTTGTCTCTTAATGACAAAATCATTAAAGGCAGGAGGGCCCAGAGGAATATTATGAAGAGGATTTGGTCCTCGTGGTGTTTGTCTCTTCACGACAAACTCATTAGAGGTAAGATGACTGAGAGGTATATTGTGAAGAGGATCTGATCCACTCGGTACTTGTCTCTTAATGAAAAACTCATTAAAGGCACGAGGGTCGAGAGGAGTGTTACGAAGATGATCTAGTCCTCCTGTTGTTTGTCTCTTCACGACGAACTCATTAAAGGTATGAGGGCTGAGAGGTTTATTGTGCAAAGGATCTGGTCCACTCGGTACTTGTCCCTTAACAACGAACTCATTAAAGATAGGAGAGTCGAGAAGAGTATTATGAAGAGGATGTAGTTTTCCAGGTGTTAGTCTTTTCACAACAAACTCATTAGATGCATGAGGGCTGAGAGGTTTGTTGTGAAGAGGATCTAGTCCTCCTAGTGTTAGTCTCTTCACGAAGAACTATTTAGAGGCAAGAGGACTGAGAGATTTACTGTGAAGAGGATTTGGTCCACTCGGTACTTGTCTCTTCACAACGAACTCGTTAGAAGGAGGACCGGAAGGACTATTGTGAATAGGATTTGATTCACTAGGTGTTTGTCTATTTAAAATGATATTTTTAATATTAGAAGGATCATAAAGAAGATTAAATCTTTCAATAGTCGATAACTTCATTCCCACATTGCTTTTCAAGCTGTTGAATCTGTTTGGATTACTCGTCCAGCTCAGTTGGTAGAGCACAAGGCTCTTAACCTTGTGGTCGTGGGAATGAGTCTCATGGTGGGCAATTCATAATTCGGAGGTCTCACACGGAAGCTGCTCTTAACATGGTGTTTGGGGCAGCTTACTATCCTACTTCCCCCTTATCCCATTACATATGGGAATAAGGGTCAACTAATTTATATAGACGAAATCATGATAAAAGTACATTTATAAGATAATAAATGATATTCGGATTTTTTCCCTATATTGATATTATTGGTGCCCAATAATAATTTCTAATAACAGATGTAATATTCATTTATAAAAAAAAAACATTTCCATAAAGTACTTAATATTTATTATTCTCGCATGATGTTGTCTGTTTTATGGTTTTGATGGAAGCATTCCATTTTTCTTTTATAGAACTATCATTTTCCTCCATCGTAATATTTTGTAAAATAATTAATTTTATACTTATGAAAATATTAAGATCTACTCTTTTTGAGCCACGTCTATTTTGTCCTTAATGTGTTAAATTTAAATACGATAAATTTAGAATATATTTAAATAAAAGTAGTTATTTTAAAAAAAAAAAATAGAATATTAAGATTTTTTACAGAAGAATATTAATATTTATGGTATATTTTAAAATATTAATATATATGATTATTTTACTTATATGTGTATTTTCATTAAAAAAACAAGACATTAAATAAAATAACATATAAATTCAAATATAAAAAACTAGCAAAATTGGAAAGAGAAAAGGAGATTTCAAACTAAAAGGCCGAAACTATTCATCGATGCCTACGTCATCTGGGTTGGACCACATCTCTTCTACTCCGTGTCCATGAAGCAGTGGGATTTTTACACTTTCATGGTCCATTAAGCGATTAAATATTTTATTTATATTTTAAAAAATATTAAATAACATAATTTAATTAAAACAAAAGAAAGGGAATAAAATAGAAGAGAAAGTCGGATAGAAATGAAAAACAAAACATATGGAGAAACTTGTGATCAGAGTTTTTTTTCACATATAATCCAACATTAATATTATATTTAAATTTTTAAACATTAATGATTTGTAACTTTGATGCATTTATAGCGTGTTCATACTCCTTAAAAATAAATAAACTCCCATTAACAATACACCAGAAAGAAAAATGATAAATTATACGTTTAGTATCCCAACTATAATTTTCTTTCTTTTTGATCATCCAATTATTATTTTTATTTCAAAATCATTATTCACGTTATATTTCGGTTTCGATATGCTGACGAGTCTCCGATTCTAATAGATCAGAGGGCATCCGTAGGTTTTGCTTGTTGGAATTTTACAGTAATTTTTTAGCAGTACGTTAAGATCAACGTTGATGTTGAAGCTGTCGAAACCGAAGATTTGGAACTCGACCATACCGCAAAGGCAAAGGTCCGCATTAGTAGCGACCAAGTTTGAAAGGAGGTTGCAGCATGGGCTACCCTGGCCTCCCCCGAGAATCCCTAAGGGCAAAACATCGACGCAAGCACTCAAGTCAGTGCCGGGGCATTGGGTAAGTGTACCTGTAACGGCAGCGTCCGCCATCGAGAAAAACAACAGGTTGAGGGAGAGAAGAAGGGTAATTGTTGCTGAAGCCTTGGAAGCCATTTCTCAAAGGAAACAGAAATTTCAGTTAATTTGTGTTGAGAATATTGTAAAGCCCGGTGAAGTTGATGAAAAATGTTTGAGGTGGAAGAGGCTTTTTATAGATGGGAGTGTTAGAAATTAATCTTGTTTTCTTTTAATAAAGAATTAAATGCACCTAAGTTTAATTAATTAAACTTGCGAGTTTTATTGACTTCATAAACTCACTCTATTAATTAAAAGAGTTATTAATATTAAGGTAAACTATTTAAATAATGTTAATCAGTAATTACTATTAACATTTAACAGAAAAGCTGACATGATATTTAACAAAATTAATGTAACATACAAACACAACAAATCAATTTAATGACATGCTTTGCAGTTCTTTGTTATTAATTTATAATTCGTCAGTTAATTCAGAATTTACAATAAAATGATGGTATAAAAAACGTTTTTCGCATGTTATTTTTTAACTTCACTTTTAATAGTTTCATTATGAGGTTTCCCTTTTATATGCCCCTTTACATGCCCCACCGATGAGTCAATGCCACGTGTACTAATAAAATTTATTCAACTTAACAGAGGTTTGTCGTTAGTTTATTTATATAAGAGCGTTTGGTTCATAGAATGTAACATTATCAGTGAGAATGTAAGATTATCAGAGAATATGATTACTGGGAATGTTGTATTTTGTATTTGGTTGGTTTAGGAGGAATGCAAGATTACCGTGTTTGGTTAAAGGAATAAAAGATTATTGGAATGTATATTTGACCAAATTATCTTTATTATATATTTATTTTTTTAACAAGTTGAAAAATATTTATATATTTTCTTTAAAAAATTTAAATTCATAAAATTTATATATATATTTTTACAAAATTAAAAATATAAAAAAGTTTAATAAAAGGGTAAAAAATTATTTTAACCCATGAACTTCATATAAAATTCTTATTATAAACTTTTTTTTTGTAAATCTAAAATAGTTTAAGGATAAATTTATAATTTAACATTCGTAGAATTTTTATTATTCAATGATAGAAGAAGGATATTTTTGAAGAAAAAAGTTAAGGGCATTTTAGTCCAAAATACCGGTAATCCAACAATATCTAAGGAAACGGAGGAAATGATATTATCGGTAATATACCCAAAAAAATCTACTATTGTTAATAAAACATTACCGGGAATGAGATTCCCGGCTAACCAAACATAGGAATGTGGATTCCATTCCCATGGAAATCCCACATTCCTTAATCCAAACACCCCCTAACTTCTGTTTTTTGGTAGCCGGTAATCATCTTCTTCACCCTTTACCAACGAATAATATCCATTGGCGAGTTGTATTTTAAGTCCAAATCTTTTTGTTCTGATAGCATGGGCGCTGCAAATTTAGTAAATTTAAAGGTTAAAGATTTAAAATTTCAGTGATTCTGATAATGTACAACAACAAATAAAAAAACATAAAATACATAACCTAAGAAAACGAGTTGCTAACTCATCTAGAAGCTTAAAAAGACTAAAAATATGGTGTTAACCTTATAAAAACGGATTGAGATCACTGAGGAACCTTAAAACCTAAACCCACTTTAAACCCGCACCTAAAGCTTTCCATGATCAAATCATAAAATTTGAAATTTGGATGAAAGCTTGGGACATTGAGATTTCGATTCTTATCTTAGAAATTCTGATATGTGATTGAGAGCCAACAATTTTTTATCTTGAAAATTTTGGAAAATGAGAAGGAAGGATTTTGGAGAAAAGAAGAAGAAGAAGAAGACAATGGGACAAGGTTCCCCAACGTGACATAAGACCTAATTAATGATAATTCAACTTTTAGGTAAGATTAGGGATAAATTACTGCTTTGGTCCTTTTATTTTTGTCTACTATTAAAAATAGCATCTTTAAGCCTAAGTAGGCTCAAGCCCACTTTATAAGGAACCCAAAATAAACTCAAAACATTTAATTGGTTACGTGGTTTGCTCCAAGCCCACTAAGTTTACCCGAAACTACTAACCTGAAATTCGGGGCGATATACATAGTGTGACCTTGTCTTTGAATCATGAATTCCAACAAATTAGCATATAAAAGCTTGAATTTTTCAGTTTGAATGATAATTCAACTTTTAGGTAACATTAGGTATGAGATCCGATGTTAATTTTTAGTTTTAAGAAAAACCATAAGTTTAAATAGAGTAGATGTGATCTTCATCCTAGAATTGAATAAGGAGATGTTTTCAGAATTCGAAATTAGGAAGCAAATAATGGAAGTGATTTAAAAAAGTGGACTGCAGGAAACTAATTATCGAAGTGCATCTAAGTGGTGCGGGAAACTTGAATGAACGTCAATGAGTGGTTCGATTACATGACTTTGGTTACTGGGGTGTTGAAGTCGATGAATTGAATTTAGATTTTAATAGAATATGTATGTAAGTTGAAGTAAACAAAGGATTATCTTAGGAATAAGGGCTTGGAGTTAGAAGGGTTAGTATGCTCTTGTTGATATGACTCAGTTAGGAGGACTCAAACATTCTTTTTGGGGAAAGTAGATCCATTGGATGCTTTTGGAGGTTTTTTTGGATAATGGTGGGGGTTAATTGGAGGAAAGTGAGCGATGTTTCGAGCCTTATAAAGTTTAACTTGTCTATTCAACTATCTAGCATGCTATGCAGTGTGTAGTTTATTTCAATTGCGATTTGGTGGATTTTGTTGGCTTTTCATGTTGTGGTCCCATTGAGAAATCAAGTGCTCTTAAAGATCTCGTGTTTTTTTTAAAAAGCTCTGAACTTTTTGCGTGGATGGAATGACAAAGGTTGGAAATGCATGTCGTGTTAGGATTTTTTGTACGAATGTTGGTACGCTTAGAGCTTTATGTTCTGAACCTGCTCGTGGAATGAATCTAAATCAAGCTAGGCCATTTCTATAAAACAACATTGAAATGGTATATGGAGGCAATGTTATGTTTGGCTTGAAATCAAATTTGGCAAGTTGGAAAATTTATCTTTGGTAGGTGGCCAACTTTGCACATGGAAATTTCATCTTGGTTGGTGGCCAACTTATTGGAAAATTCATCTTGGTTGGTGGCCAACTTATTGGAAAATTCATCTTTGGTAGGTGACCAACTTTGTATATGGGAATTTCATCTTTGGTTCATAAAATATTAGGTTATTTATAAGTTTAGTCCTTAAAACTCAACTATAATTAGGCCTAAGTATTTCATTAGAAATTATCTCAAAATAAGTTTTCTCTTTCATTTGTTTTTTTCATTCTCTCACTTTGGGAATTATAAAGAATTCTATTTGTTGTAATATTTGTTGATAGTGAAGTTATCATCCGATGTGGTGCTCGAGGAGTAGACGATATTCTCATCGAACCTCGTAAATTTAGTGTGTTCTCTCCTTTATTGTTCTTTATTCGGTTTTTCCATTGTGTTTCAATATTCAATAGTTTGACGGGTTTATCCGCTGTGCAACCTTTGGCGGTTTTGATCTTGACATTTTAGGTTAATTTTGAAACTACGTTTGTGTGAGAAATAACCCGGTTTCCCCAACAATTGGTATCTAGAGCTTTGGTTGAGTTATCCTCGTGGTCCTGTTGCTGAAAAGATACAGTTCGTGCTATTGAATATTGTTCATTAGAATTAAAATGCCAAAATACGGATCAGTTGAGACATCAAGCTCTTCATCTGGGCCGGTGAGGAGGATGATGTCAAATGCAAATTTCTCGATAGAGTTGTT